ATATATATATATATATATATATATATGCACATAAATACGCAGAAAAAAGGAAGGAGAGAGGAGTGAATTATATAATATATAAACTTATTGTCGATTTTATCCCGCAAGTGGACGGATCGTAACAAATAGTAAAGTGGACCTTTTGAGTCCGGATTATCGTTTCTACGAAAATTATACTTTAATACTTAATTTATTATTCCTAACTTCTATTTGATGAAAAAAAAATGATTGAATGTGATTTTTAAATCTAACTACTTAAAATATAAATGGATGCAACAAAAAATGAGTGAGAATTCAAATAATAAATGGAGATTAGGGCGGAACAAATTCACCTATTGATCATCTTTATTTCTAATATCGAGATTCATAAAATTAAATTAGTGTTCGGTCGAATTCTTTTATTGTATTCAACTTACCCCTTTCGAGTTCTCGTTGAACCTATTTAATTAGTTCAATTTCATACCTCTATACAAAATAAATTTAATTAAATGAAATAACAGTTCTAAGAATTTTTATAGGACCGCAATAATTAATATATGTATCTCTACACGTTATATTAATTTATTGAATTTTAATATGTGGTCTAAATAAGAATCCGCATCTCTACGTAATTATTGTTCACAAAATCATTGAATAATTGGCAAGAAAATTCAAAGCATTAAAAACATAATTAAAATCCACACATAAAATATAAAAGAACAATAATCTCAAATACAAGAAATAAAGGTCCCAAATCAGTTATATCGTTCGTCTTAAAAAATAAATTTAGCCACGCATATTAATGAGAGAAAAACACGAATTTATGGAAGACATCACCAGATTAACTGATGGAATGTGAATAATTTGCAAAAGTAAATCTGTCGTCTTGTCTGGGTGTCGCCGTCTACTTTTTTTTTTTTTTTTTTTTTTAGTAAAAGAGCTTCCTCAAGTCATTTTCTTTTAAAATCTGTTTATAGTTAGCAAAATACTTTTACAAAATTATTCAAACATTTTCAAAAAAAAAAAAAAATCTCAGAAAAGGTTTTTTAGCTTTTGAAAAATCCTTCCAAATAGACCCTATCATTTTTGTAAACTTAAGAAACAATATCGATTAATGACAATTTTAAAAAAAAATTAATAAAATTAATCGGACTTCAAGTTATTGCATGTTACAATTAATAATTACGAAATTCGAAAAAAAAAAAAAAATTGGATTTTCTTGGATTAACTATTGAATTGTTACAACTTGGTCCCCAACTTTTGCATTTCGCCCTTTTTTGCTTCATTCCTTCAATTCCTTTTCCTTCATAAAATTTCACCTATTAAACATAAAAGATAAAAATTTAGGATATAATTTGTCAAAAGAACCATCAAATATCTCTATTTAACATACCAAATAAGTGTATAAAATACACTTATCAAATACCTCCAAACTTAAACATTTGTTTGTCATCAAACAAAAATATAAACTAAATAATAATAGACACACAATCATGCAAAAATATTTGGTTGGATAGTTTAGTTTTTTACCTCATGATTCAAGATTTAGTGTTTACTTTATAAACATGCTTCAAAGTCACAGTACCAAACTAATATCCACTCTTCCAATACAAAAATTGACGTGTGTGTGTGAAGAATTGAGTAATCAACCATGAATGCACAAGTTATTTCAATTCTCGACCTTTGATGGTCATATATATATATCCTTTCATCACTCGTAAGATTCACACACATCCCAAACTTATTCTTATTCACTCTTTCCCAGTGTGTAATCTAAGGCTGAATATTTCATTACTATCCTCACCCTCTCGAGTTTAGGTGGACGTTACTAGTTGCAAGTCAACACTTTAGTAAACAAGGATTTTCCAATTATTTGATTGCTTCGACCTCCAAAACTTAACTAGCTAATTATTTTGCATCAAAAGTCAAATTCCCTCAAATAAATGTTAGGTCTTAATCAAGGTATTTAGTGCTTTTGTTCTTTTCATGCACTTACTTTTTCTATTTTTCACAAGTATTTTTTTTAATTATATTCTTTCCATTAAACTTTCTAGATGACCTATGTAGCAGGCTTTAAGCCGATGACTCCCAAATCAGATGATTTTAGGGCACCAGATTTTTAAATACCTTTACAGGCTTACTAACCCGAGTAAAAAAGGTTTCAAAGAGAACAATTTTTTTTCAAGTGTAACTCCATCCTTGATTGCTTTCTAAATGACCCTTGTAATGAGTTTTAGACAGGTGACTCCCATGTCAGACAAGTTTAGGGCACCAAGTTTTAAGATACACTTACAAACTTAATCACTCGAGTCATAAATGCTTCAGAGAGAATTTTAAAATTTTCAAATGTATATGTCTTGATTAGTGCAATGCCCCTCATCACACACTTATTCAAACAAATCGACCTATAACTTAAGACTTTCACAGAGTTTTATCATGTTAGTTTAAGACAATCCACACATAAATTTTCACACATGGAATCCACATTCACATCTGCATCTTCCTACAACTGTAAAATCACCTTCAAATTGTACTAATTTTGGTCTAAGGATAGATAATTTATTATGGCTTAGGTAAAGCATCTATATCCAACTAGATTAACCTATCAAAAGCAAGAAACAACTCATTTAATCATAATGTCAAACTTAATTCTAGTGCGCTTGTAATATCAGATTTTGCAAGGTTGAGCTTCAATTAGTCTAGCATGCATCCTATCCACAGTTCATAAATCAACACCAAATCTCAAATTAAATCATCATTGTCTGCCACACTATCTAACCCACACAAGCACACAACTGAACAAAAGAGACTTTTTTTTTATTTTTCGATTTTTTTCTTTTTTTTTTAAACAAACACACAAAAACATAAAACATAAAAAAAAACATAAACTAAAAGTTTTTTCATCCCCAAACTTAAAACTAACATTGTCCTCAATGTCATAAAGCATAAATAAGTACATAAAAGGGTAAGGAAGAAAAAGAAGAAGGTACTTCCCAAATTTTTCTATTGAATGTGTGAGACACTATGTGAGACGACTAGATAACATTTTTCATCATGTTTTTCGGATCTATGTTGATTTGAATGTTCCACGACGTCATGTTCCTTAAAAATCAAATTTGACAAATTAAATATAGGGAACAAGGGTTACTTATCTCAAACAATCAAAATAACCAACAATAAATTCAAGAGTTTGAGGGTGAAAGGGATATGGGTGATGACTCCTAAAAATTGAAACGTGTCTAAATCTAATGCAACCTAGTAAACAAAACAAAATATATGCTATGCGATAAAAAAAGTAAAATAAAAAAATTGAAAATTGGGTTGCCTCCCAATAAGCACTTCTTTTAAGTCATTAGCTGGACTTGTGTGCTGCTATTATTATAGTACAGCTAGGTCAAGTCTTTCTTTAGTGGTGGGAAAATCTTCCACGTAGTGCTTGATATGTTGGTCATTTACTTTAAAGTTTCCTTTTGTTGGGTGGTGTAATTCAACTGTGCCGTAGGAAACACCTGAGAGACCGTAAAAGGACCGGACCATCTAGATTTCAACTTTTCTGGAAATAGTTTAAATCTGGAATTGTATAAAAGCACTTGATCTTCCACTCTAAAAATTCTTTGCCTGATGTTCTTGTCATGCTACTGCTTCATCCTTTCCTTGTAGATGGTTGCATTCTCATATGCTTCTCTTTTGAATTCTTCCAATTCATGTAGCTGCAGTATTCTTGTTTCTCCAACGTTTTCGAGGTCCATGTTTAATTGTTTCAATGCCCAGTATGCTCTATGTTCAAACTCCACTGGAAGGTAGCATACTTGTCGAAAGACTAGTCGATATGGGGACATCCCAATAGGTGTCTTGTAAGCAGTGCGATATGCCCATAAAGCATCGTCCAATTTTGTTGACCAATCTTTGCGAGATGCATTCACAGTGAGCTCGAAAATTCTTTTTAATTGTCTGTTCGAGGTTTCCACCTGTCCACTTGTCTAAGGGTGGTAAGGAGTGACAATTCGATGTTGTACCTCGTACTTATGTAGCACTGCCTGGAATAGCTGATTGCGGAAATGAGTTCCACCATCACTTATTATGGCCCTAGGTAATCCATCGCGGTTAAAGATGTGTTTCTTTA